ACCCTTCCTTATTCCTTCCTTCCTTCTTTTCATCAACTTCATTGAAGAACAATTTAGATAAACTAGAACAATAAATGCCCTCATTACACATTAGAGTTCAATATTGTGCCAAATACATACACCTGTATAATCACAATGCCAATCCTGATATAAAACATTCCCATCACCCCTGAGAGTTCCCTTACACTCCTTCTCAGTCACAACCCCCAGCCCTGCTCAACAACTGGCTTATTCCTGTCGCTACAGATTAGTTTTGCTTTTTCCAGAACTTCATATAAATAGCGTCATATAGCATATACTTACTTTTTGTCTGGGTTCATTTGTTAAGTATTATATTTCTGGGGTTTATCCACATTGTTGCTTATTATTACTGAGAAGTACTCTAGTGTATGAAGATACCACAATTCTTTTTTCCCTTTTCTTTTGTGGATATTTGCTTTTTTTTTTTTTTTCAAATTTGGGGTTTTTTTTTCATATCCTTTTATTATGATAAAAATATACATAATATAAGATTTTAACTATTTTTAAGTATAGAATTCAGTCATTAAATGCATTCATAATGTTGTGCAACACTCACCACTATCTATTTCCAGAATTTTTTCATCATCCTGAGCAGAAATTTCACATGTATTAAATCAAACTCCCCATTTCTCCTTTCCCCTAGCCCTGGTAACTTTATTACACTATCTGTGTCTTGATACAAGTCTTTATCAGATATGTGTATTACAAATATTTCTCAATCATCACCTTGCACTTTTTATTTCTTAACAGATTTTCTCAAAAACAGAAGTTCTTCTCTCTTTTTAAAAATGTTTTCACTTTGAAATAATTTCAGACTTACAAAGAAGTTGTCAAAAAATAGCACAGAGTTTCTATGTACCTTCCATCTAGCTCCCCCAAATGTTAACATCTTATATAACTAACTACAATACCATTATCAAAACCAGAAAACTAACATTAGACAATACTTCTAATCTACAGTACTAACATTTTATTGTTTGTCCCACTAATGTCCTTTTGCTAATCCATGACCAGGGTTTATTAGAAGTTAATTAATTTTTTTAATGTTTTCTGAAAACCAGATTTGTTTTTACTGATTTTTCCCTCATGTGTGTATGTGTTTAATTTTATTAATTTTTGTTCTTTATTTTTCCATTCACTTATTTTGAGTTACCTTTCTTTTCTTACTTTGCTAATATGGAAAATTAGATAATTGATTTTAAAGCTGTCTTCACTGATATAATTATATAAAGCAATACTTTCTTTTCTAAATAATGTTTTAGCTTCACCTTACACTTTTTGATATGTGATTTTTATATAATTATTTTTAAAATATTGAATAATGTCTTTTGTGATGTTTTCTTTGATTTGTGGATATTTAGAACTACTTTAATTTCAAAATATGTTTGGTATTGATTTCTTATTATTTGTACGTATATATGAGAATATATGCTCTGTGACTTTGATCCTTCTAAACGTTTCAGCTTAGCTCATAGTCTAGCATGGAAGATGTTTGATGTGTACTTGTAAAAATGTGTCTACTGCTATCATTGGTACATTGTCCTATAAATGTCAACTAATAGAAGTTGCTTTACACTTTTGTTTGACTTTTATGCCTTTGTGGATTCTATATATACATTAAAATTAATTACAAAGAGATGAATAGTAAAATTTCCAACTATAATTGTGAATTTTATATTTCCTTTGAGCCTGTGAGTTTTGCTTTATGTATTGTAAAGTTCTGTTAGTAGATGCTATGCACACATTAAGAATGATTATATACTCTAGATGCATTTGTCATTTTCAGCATTTAAGTGTCCTGCCTTATTTCAGATAATATTCCTCATCCTGAAAACTACTTTGTTATTAATACAGCTATCTCAGTGTTTGTATGCTTTATCTTTTCTCCTCCTCTTACTTTTAACCCATGTCATTGTATTTAAATTTGTTCTATTTGTAGCATATAGGTGCTTCTTGCTTTTAAAAATATTGAGCAATCTTTGCCTTCTAATAGAGTGTTTAGATAATATACATGTAATAAAATTATCTGTATATTTGTTTTTTTATTCTACCATCTGGCTGTTTGCTTTCTATAAATACTATTATTTTTCTATGTTTATATTGTCTTTTTTTTTCCTTCTTAATGATTTATTTAGTAGCTTTAGTATTCCAATTTATCTTTTTATTCTAGGGTTTACAATAATAATGTTCAACTTATACAGTATGTCTGTAATATTTACTTCCAATGAAAGTCTTACCTTCATACAGTATGTGTCCATTCCTGCCATCATCCTTTGTATTATTACAGTGTCATATATCTTATTTTTACATATTTATAAAATGTATTATACATTTTTTAAATAGCCAATTATCTTTTTTTTTAAATATATTTTCATTGATTTCAGAGAGGAAGGGAGAGGGAGAGAAAGGAAAATCAATGATGAGAGAGAATCACTGGTGGGCTGCCTCCTGCACACCTCCCGCTGGGGATCAAGCCCACAACCCGGGCATGTGCCCCTGACTAGAATCTAACCTAAGACCCTTCAGTCTGCAGGCCGATGTTCTATCCACTGAGCCAAACCAGCTAGGGCATAGCCAATTATCTTTTAAAGAAATTCCTTAAGAATAAGGAAAAGTCTTCATACACATATTTTTTATAATTCCTATATTTACCATTTTCAGTGTTCTCTATTTTTTGGTATAAATCTGAGTGTGTGTTTTTAAAAACATTATTCTTTAGCATAAGAAACTTCTTTTAACATTTCTTGTAGCATGGCATTGCTTGCCTTAAACTCTCTCAGCTTTTGCTTTTTTAGAAATGGCCTTATTTAACCTTCATTTGTGAGGAATATTTTCACTGGATATAGAGTTGTGGGTTGACACTTTTTTCCTTTTAGTGTGTTAAATATGTCATTTCACTGTGCTCTGTCTTGCATCATTTTTGATCTGTGGTCATTCTAATCTCATCCCTCTGTATATGATCAGGCTTTGTTTTCTGGCAGCTTTTAAGATTTTTCTCTTTATTACTGGCTTTTAGAAACTTGATTATGATGTGCTGTGGGGTGGTTTCTTTTTGTTTATTCTGTTTGGAGTTTGTTGAGCATCTCAAATCTGTGGGATTGATAATGTACATCAAAATTGGAAAATTTTAGCTATATTTTTTAGTTTTTGAAATTCATTTTTCCAGATTGCCTTTTTTAAACTTCTCTTTTCAAATTGGTTTATTACCTAGATAGTTCATGGGGTTTAATTTTTCTGTTTGTTATACTAGCTAAACATTATGGTTTTTTATTTAGATTTCTCCTCCTCCTCCTTGTCCTCTTTCCCCTCTTCCTTTTCCTCCTTTGTATTGATATTTTATTTTTTGCCATGATAGCACTTGATACTCTATTCCAGTGTTTCCCAACGTGTGGCACGTGTACCCCCAGGGGTGCGGGAAGAGTTTGGTGGGGGTACGCGTTGCACCGGAGTTTGGTGGGCATATGCACTACACCGTGCTTAGCTGAGCCTAATTCTACGTTCTCATGAGTATGAGGGGTACTCAGCATTACAAAAATTATAGAAGGGGTACACATATGTCAAAAGTTTGGGAAACACTGCTAGAATAATTATTTGGGGCAAATTTAAATTTTGCTTTTGCTAAGACCCTGTGGGTATCACTAATTCCAGAGCAGAAATTATCTTATCTGTTAGAAATCTCTTTCCTAAAAGTGAAGTGTGATTTCTAACACCATATCTCCTACTGCCTAGACTTGGTTTCCAATTTTGTGTGAATACATCTGATATCACATATTGTTCAGAGTACTTAATTGGATTTTATCTCAGATTCTCCCAGACTCAGAACCTTACTCAGGTCAAGGTCACCTCATTGTGCCTAAGGGCCCTGATCCTAAAACTTCCTCCCCTAGGCCTTTATTTTACAACCAAATATGATGCCCCTATAGGCTACCTTCCTTTTATTTTCATACTTAGCTATGGCTTTGAATTTTTTTTTTTCTTTCTATTTTTGAAAGCTGCAAGCTTTCCTTTCCTACTTCCAAACTCAAGTGTGTGTGGTCTATTACTGCATAATGTTTGCAGTGGTTAGAATTTCTTTCATGAGCTATATTAACTGAAATTCTTACATGTCTTCATTATTAAATATGAATAGAAAACCAAAGATCATAAAATATTTGAAGAATGAAATATGACAAGAGATTGATTCTAACATAAACAAAGTATTCAAAGGAAATATAGATATTAAATAATAAAGAAAAAACAGACCAAAACTTTTATTTATTTACTCAGAGACATGTAAGCTAATACTGCATTCACAGCATAACACAGTCCTATGAGAAAGGAAGATTCAAAGAACAAGAATGAGATTGTGATGATTACAATAATCTGCCAAAGCAAAACAAACTGCAGTCGAAAAATTGGGTTGAATGATTTAAAGTAAAACATTTCCAAGCTGCCTTTCTCTGTAAAGTAGAATGGAAATAAGTAGAGACAAAAATATGACAAAAGATAAGTGATAAGATAAGATAGGTCTGGTACAAATAGTTCTCCTTGCATTCACTTATGCAAGAGGCCTAACAGTCAAGAATAGAAGTTATAGAAGGAAAAGATATAGGAAGTGAATGAAAACTATCAAAGAAATAGTGGAACATGATTTTGAAGAGCTAAAGGATATGATAACTGATAAATGGAAAAATCATTGTAAAATTTCAGAACACTAAGGATAAAAAACTAAACACTTGCAAAGACTAAATAAATAAATAAATCAGGTAAGTATGATACCTTTGTAGGATTGACCTTCTATCATTATAGTGAATGCTAGGTTATAGTAGAAAAATACTTTCCAAGTTCTGATGAAAATTATTTTTAACTTAGAATTCTATACTCTGCCAAAGTATGAAAGAAATGTAATACCAAAGTAAAGATATTTTAAGACATGAAAGAGTTAGAAATATGTTCTTCACAAGGACCCATTCTTTTTTTCTTTTTTTTTTCTTTTCTAGGTCAGCAATGGAAAACAGATTTTGCTTAGACATATTCAACTAAGCTAAAGAAAATTGCATTCCTCTGCCTCCCTTGCAGCTATGGATAGCTAATGATCAAGTTCTGTCCAATGACTTATAGTAGCCTAGAGACCCAGTTCACAAAATTCGTACACATGGGGGCGGGGAGTTATCCTCAGCCTGGCCTGTACCCTCTCACAATCCGGGATGTCCGACTGCCAGTTAGAAGATAATAGTGTTGGGCATAAGATTTGTCTGTAACAGGCAGTCGGACATCCCTCTCGCAATCCAGGACCACTGGCTCCTAACCACTCGCCTGCCTGCCTACCTGATTGCCCCTAACTACTCACCTGCCTGCCTGATTGCTCCTAACTGCCTCTGCCTCGGCCCCCACTGCAGTGGCTTCATCTGAAAGGACATCTGGAAGGTCATTCGGCTGTCCGGTCAAATTAGCATATTACGCTTTTATTATTATAGATGTGTTGTGAAGGGGCTTCAAGGAGATATTCATAAAAAAGAGAGATCGTTTTCTGCTTATTATTTCTTCTGATTTGTAGACATGGTAGCTGGAGTTCTAATTTTGACTTTCTTGGATTCTTTGAGAATGAAAGCAGTTTCTGATAACAAATCAGCCCACCATTCCACCTTTGTACTGCCCAATTTCTCCTTGTAATGGAAAAATAAAATTATATCTTTCTTATGTTTTATTTATTATTAATTATTCTGTTAGATGCAGCTACAGTTCATCCAAACTGACACAGAAAGCTACTTGAGGATATATGCCAATAGATGACAAATTGGATTTTATTTTTGTATTCAGTTGCCCATGTGATTATATTCTAGGCAATGATCTGTAATGGAAGTGTGTGAAGGGGGCTACAAAGAAACCATGGATTTAACTCAAAAGAATTATAAAAGGAAAAACCAGGAGGATATCAGTGCCTAAAAAAATATTAAAAAATACTTCAAGAATTAAATAAAGGCAACTAGAAACTCCAGGGAAAATATAAAGTGTTAAAAATGGCATTAGTTTGTTCTATAATGAAATCCACACAATGGACATTTGGTGGCAATAGCAGGGAAAAGATCCTGTAGATTTGTCCCAGATCTGAGGCCTCTAAAAAATCTGTCTATGGAACTCCACCCCTCAAAACAATAATCAAAGGCCTTAAAATGGAAAGTTTTTTTTCTAGAAATGATCACTTGTTATTTCTGCTACAAATTTTTATTCAAACTAAGAAAATATAAATGTTGGTATTTTTTCATGAATTTTGGCTTACTCTTATTCTGTTTGGAAAAGTTTTTATTATACAGAGATCATCATTTATATTCCAGTGCTTCTGATAATTTCTTCAGTAATGCCAATTACAGCATTTTTCAAATACCTCAGAAATAGTTAATACTAGTAACCTTCCATTTTAACTGTTCATTTTTCCTACTAGACTTTAACTCATTGATTGCATAAACAGCAATTCCAGGTCCTATATTTCCATAACTTAGCCCAGCATCAGGCACACTGTAAGTGCTCATGTTTATTGAATGAATTAATGTGAAGAAACTTCATCTGATTATTATGAGAACATGTTATTTTTTGGCTGCTTTCTCAAGAAGGAAAAAGAGAAAACAGTGAGAAATGAGACAGAAGAGGAAAGGAGAACACTGAACACATTTACTACAAGTCCCTTTTCCAAAGCACTTCAGCAGCAGCTAGCATACCCTGGGAGCATGTCCAATAATATTTCGAAGCCTCTCTTCACAGATCACCTTGCAATCCCAGGTCACAAGGTGGGAGCTGCCAGCAGTCCTGGTATCAAACCGCTGTACCAGCTTCCAGCCCTCCTTTAAGTGAGGTGCCTTGCGCTGGACTAGCCTAGGGTAACTGTACCAACTTACAGCTGCCCTGCCCCTGTCTCCCTGTCAAACACACTCAGACTTCAAGTGAGTAGTTTCACAAGCCTGCAAGGAATGGATATTTATAAAGACAAGTTATGTTGTGGTCATATTCACATAGCATCACAATCAGCTCAGCATCCAGGCAAACCAGAGCCCTGTCTCCTGTGAACAATTGTCTTTATTGACCGCAGGGCACTGAGAGGAGAGGCACATGGGGAAAATGAGGGGCAGGTGGGTCTGACCAGCCTAACCAGATGGAAGCACGCAGCCTTTCTTCTTGCTCGGGACCTTTGTTGGAGGCATTTGACTTACGATGGAAAGAGCATGCAATTTAGAATTAATGGACCTTGTCCTTGGTCCAGGCTCTGCTACTTACTGGCTTTGTGTCCTTGAGCAAGTACCTTTCTATCTCTGGGCCTTGTTTCCTCATTTGGAAAATGTCAACCTCATCATGTTATTCGGAGGATTATAAAGAAATAATGGATGGGAGCATCCTTAGCAAAATGTAAACTATAATTCTCTTTTTCAAACAGGAAGATGCCTCAAGGCTGTGCAGCATATTGTGTTCAACTCTTAAGTAAAGAATGTTAAAGAGAAATATTACCAAATTAGGAGAATTGCTTGTGTTAAGAAATAATATGAGGGGGGAAAAAACTCCGCTAATGCTTAATATTCTTCTTTGTTTAGTAATCCACTAGTCAAATACTACTGAAAATCTCCTCACCATAATAAAAAATTCTTAGTGTCTACTATTCACTCATTCAGTAAATATTTATGTTCAAGCAAAAGACAGTGAGTTAAGCCCCATGAGTGAACTAGTAAGGACAGAGAAGAGAATTCACATTTATAATTAAGATTTATAACAATTAAGGCTATGCTAGATAAGTATCATATGAGTAATTACAAGAATTATAGTGCATCAGACCTGTATACGTACATAATACCTAATCACATTCAAATCTCACCTAATGTGTGTCATACTCTTTACTAGACTCTAAGAACTCACTATGTAGGAGGCATTCTATTCCAATTGGACCTAATTGTCAGGCCATCTAACTTTTCTTTACATTCAACATTCAGTCCTCTAGGAGCCACATTATCTTCCTCTTCCATGTGAGCACCACTTGGTTATGCAAAGATGGCCATCATTCTTCCTTGCAGGCCTCCTTTCACCAGGATATAAACCCCACTCTCCATTCCATGGTCCCTTTCCTCACCACCTTGCATTGTCTCTGTGGGCCTACTCCAGTTTGTCCTGTGTCCGGCTCAGTGTCACATTCAACTTGGCCTTAGAATTCTCAAGTGATTCCACCAGGGCAGACAGGATGGGACTCTAATTGCTGTGCTTGAAATTCTGATTGGCATTCACATTTATGATCATAGAAGTTACTGACAAACCCTAATTTTCTTTACATTTAGTGTATCTTCCTTTAGGTGTAGCTATACCCTCTCATTACATATTTGTGAAGTTTCTTTTTAGAACTAAGTTTAAAACTTCACAATTGTGTTTACTAAATTTTATTTTTATACATTATCATAAGATCCTATCACTTACACAAGTTATTTCCACTATAGTATAGTACATACTAGGAATATAGGAAGAATTATTACAAGGTCAATGCATAGTTTATAGTCATATATTGCCTCTGTGAGTTTAGTGTGATTCACTTTTAATCACTACTCATAGTTCTATTTATGATGTCAATGTTCTCCAACTTTCCCAAGAAGTTTCCAGAGAAAGGACCTATTTGATTTACCAGCAAGAGTTTCCTATTTAGATTTTGAATAACCCTTCTCTCCAAGAATCAAAGCAATGAGAAATAGACATAGAAGTTAGATAAGGACTCAACTATCAGCTTTATTGCCAACAAAATTAAATTCAAGGGCATGAAATGGCACCCCTAAGATTGCATAGCCTGTCTGCTGGCTGCACAGTGCAGGTGCTCAGCTCCTGTGAGCTTACCTGCCTCCTTGCAACTGGAACACAATGTAACATCCATGTCCTGCAGGGAGGCAGACAGACATCGTTCAAAGAGCCCAGAGAGGCAGAGCTGCACACATACAAGCCAAATTCCCACATCAGATTCACTCCTCCCTTGGTGTGGCAAGAGATGTTACTTCTCAGCACAGGAGAAAGCAGGTCCCACCCATCTCCTTGCATTCACAAATAGGCACTGAGTCCTCTTGTCTTGTCAGCTGCTAATGGGGTGGGTGACCTCCTTTCAGAGTAACCTACCAGTTCATACTCAAGACCCTGAGGCCATACCCATTTGCCCAAGGCCTTGCAAGGGACTGACCACCTGAGACTTTTCTCTCTCCTTGGAATTGCACATCACACTCTGTAAGAGCTGGTTAGGCACCTAGACATGGAGGGAAGTGTCTGCTTCCTGGGTTTGCTTTCCTCTCTCAGAGGTCCTGGGCCTCAGCTGCCCTGGTTGTGGGCTGACAGGAGCAAATGAGCTCTGCTGTTGACATGCCTCTTCGTTCTGCCCTTCTGGACCCTTTCAGAGTTATGTATCTCCCTTTCCTCTTCCAATTCCAAAAGCCTGGGCAGGCTTCCCTACTTTCACTGTTACTCCTATGGTTGTCTTCTGATGTTTTTGTTTCTGCTACAAATAGTTCTCCTATTTTGTGCAAGTTACCTGGAAGCTTCTGCATACTTCTCCTCTAATTTAAAACAATTAGGGTATACATGACAACTACTTGAACTGTGTGTCTCCTTATTGGCTTTCTAGAATTTGGTTGGCACCCCAACCCCATATAGGTGTACTCCTGGGTCCATTTGCTTCTGTGAGGAAAAGCTGGGTCATAGAATCCCATTCACAAAATTTAGAAGATATGCTTTACTGTTATCCAAGCCCTTCCCATTTTTTGTACTAATATGACCTTGTTTTCAAAATAATTTCATGATCATCATCGCATTTGGGCCTCAGAAGGTCTCATGAATGAGGCAAATCATGATTCTTTCTTCCCTTCATATTTCCAGGGACAGGAGCAAAAAATGGTGGTCATTGGCCCAAGGCTTAGAGGAGGGTTACCTAGTTACCACTGCATGCACTTCCACATGATACCATGTCTGACCCAAAGCCAACACATGCTACTGCATCTGTGTGCACAGACCTCATAGGGCAGCCCAGCAGCCACAAGGACTCAGAACTAATTGACCTGGTGCTACCATGCCCCACCACACACACCCCCCGAGAAGCCAGATCCATCAATCCCACCCAAATGCCCTGATTTGAGAAGGTACATCTGATGCACATGGAAGAGAATTACTATTGTGGGGGATAAAGTAAAGTAAAAAAGTAAAGTAAAGTAAAGTAAAGTAAAGTAAAGTAAAGTAAAGTAAAGTAAAGTAAAGTAAAGTAAAAGGCAACATACAAGTTTTGAGTGATATTTTGGTGGCAAGAGCCAGAGTTTAAATGCATTGGAAACTGAAGGGAGATGAAGCAGTAGAGTGTTTTATGCTATGGCATGCTGGCAG